AGAGAGTGACTGGCCCAAGGTCGCCCAGCTGGCTTCATGCCTAAGGCAGGACTAGAACTCATGGCCTCCTGGTTTCTAGCCTGATGCCTTAACAACTACACCAAACATACAATATATAAAGTAAGTGCTGCCAAACATACGTTGCTCACCTTTTTTGTTCTCCCGAAGGCTCTCTTTACTCTTTGCTTTTTCTAGTTTTGTTTCCAAGCCCATCAATTTTTTCCCATTTAATTTGAGTGCTTTATCCAGCTCAGCTTCAGAGGAGAAATCTACATAACCAAATTTCCTGTGTAACAGAGGAAGAATTTTCAGTATTTAACTTCTCTCTAAAAATAAGCATTAAACACGCATACATGCACACACTCACACACAATTGCTTTCTCAGGTCCAACTGCCATCCAAGAGATAGCTGGACCCATACTGAGAGGGCTCACCCCCTCCTTTGCTATTCGGTTGCACTACTCTTGCCATTCAGAACGTTCTGTTACTTGAAGTGCTACAGGGACAGATAAACAGCAGCACACAGGCCAGAACAACACACCCCAATATCCCTGTTCAGCCAAATTCCCCCCCCCCCCGGTGCAGAAGAGTACACACAGAACATACATACATACTGAATCTTAGCAGATCTCTTGCACGCTTCTAAATGCGCTCCACAATCTCCACAAAGGGGCACAAGAGAATGTGCAGAATGCAACAATGAACACCCCAGAACTAAGCAAGTCAATCAACTGGAGTTACTGTTTTTGTCTTTTGAAATGCACCTTGAGAGAAATGCGCCTGAAGAGCCAAACCAACCAAGGCAAGCCATCAGCACAGCAAGTTTGCAAAGAAGTGTTGATGCTTGTTAAGCCAAAATGTCCATGTGCACTGTCATGCTCTTTCGTTCTGCTGAATTGGAAGCCTTCAGAGTGTTATTGTTAATGGGAACTCACAGTATTTAAAACAGTAATCCTGAATCTGAGCACTGGCAGGACCCACAAGAATGTCAGGTGCACACGCAAATTCTGAAGCTCAGTAGGGCAATCAAACCAACACTGTACCAGCAGTGTTTGCAGTAACATTAATCTACATTTATTCTCTGTTCTACACACACAGTGGGGGAACAGCCCTAGCCAGGATGGCTCCCTCACTGGGCCACTCATTCCTTCAATGCCTGCTGCTTCGCTCAGAACGCCATTCCCTGATCACCCCATCCACTCTAAGCCAGTTTTCAAATTTGTACACAATCTCTGTACAAACCCAGAGGGAAAAAATTCAGAACATCCCAGTTATAAGAAACAATTTGCAACTGGGACTTTACGTAGTGCACAGAATGAGCCTGACCTACTGCAGAATGTAACGAAACTATTATTGCCCATGACTTGGAAGCAGGATTTTATGGAGACAGCCTAAACTGCATTAGCTTTTTTTTAGCAGCCATGTTGTACTACTGATTCATGTTCAGTTTGCAATCAACTATATCTCACTCCAAGTCCATTTTCACACCTAACCCCACCCAACACATTCCTCTTTTCTATCAGTTAAATTTCATTCTGCTGGGTTCTGCCCTCCTTGGTAAGCTCCAAGATTATTTTCAGGCTTGTTTCCCAATGTATTAGCCACCTCCAATATCTCTGTGGCATTTGCACATCTGTGAGCAATCTTTCGTTCAGCAACTGAAGGTGTACAAATCCCAAGCTACAACCATTACCACCACACCTCTATGATCCACAGGTTGGGGAAGGCAGCTCTGAAGTGAAATTCTTACATTTTAAAAAAGAAAAGTCCCCCAATACTTCCAACATGAAATTCTTACTTTGAGTTGCCAATTCGGATTTCTTGTACTTGAAGATCCTTTTTGCCAAAGAAATCTCTGATGGCAGCCTTCAGTTCTTCAAAGTTCTTGTTTGCATTGAGATTACTCATGAAGAGAGAGAAGGCAGACTCTATAAAGTTAAAAGGAAGATAAGAAATTGCGTAAATAACCCTCAGGAAAGACTATTATCTGGAGTGCTTGTGGAAGGATACTAATGTCTTTCAGCTTTATAGCATGGACATTAAAAAAAACCTCAGCCTCATGCTACTTTGGCCTTTCGTCTTCCACCTGATGGTGTATTTGTACATTCAGTGTGCAATTTTTGGGAAAAAGGGTAAGATGACAATGCAGAACTATTATCCTCTAAAGGACAATAATGCACAATTTGGTGGCAGAATAGCAAAGATCTAATGGTTGGGGCTAGACCTCACCCCTTATCTCTGAACCTAGAATATCCTGTCACGTATGTTTGAAATTTTGAGGGATGTCAAGAACTGGATGACTAAAATAAATATTTGAAGCAAAGTTAAGGGATATGGAGAGAGAAGTAATTGTTAACAATTTCACTGTGGGTCCTGCGCGGGCCATTCACCTTCTGTTTTCTTTTTCTTTGCATCTGGGGCACCTTTTTGCTTGGTTATTTCCTTCTTTCGTTTTCCAGACATCTCTTGCAGAGTTTCTGGGGAGTAAAATGGCAAACATATATAAAAAGCGATCTCTGTATCTCTCTCACACACACACACACAGAGGGAAAAAAGCCCACAGGAGACAGAATGGCACAAACTGGTGCTGGATCAGGACTTGACTATCTTTAGGTGTGTTCATGTGTGATTTGGACCACATCAGTTCAGCGAGAAATCATCATTTCCAGCTTTAGGGCCAATATTGAAAGGTATAGACTGATCCTGTACGCTTTGTAAAAGCAGTGGGACATGTCAACTCACCCTCCTCCTCCTCCTCCTCCTCCTCTTCTTCATCCCCTTCTTCCTCGTCATCATCTTCTTCCTCAGAGTCTTCAGCTTCTTCCTCAGAGTCTTCCTTTGCCCCCTTTGCTGGTGCTGCCTTTGCTAGCAAAACTTTCTTTCCCTTTGCCGGAGCGGTTTCCATGGGCTCATCTTCTGACTCTAAAGCCACAAGCAAAGAGCCATTTTGAGTAACTCATATGATCCACAGGACAAGACAGACTCTCAAGAATTGTTTTCTTTTAATTACTTTGGCATCTTTTGCATGGTCTCTCCTACTGAAAATGCTCTACCAGTCCTAGTCAGTATAAGGTGATAGGTAGAACAACTAGTGCCACCTGCTGACATTATACAAGTCTGCTCAACTCATTTTAAAAAATGTCGTTAAGTGGTGCTCTGCAATTTGACTTAGGAACACGATCAACACATCAGTTCATATTAGAGACATCACAAGATCAGTATTAAGTCCCAAAACTCATCATCTGTGTTGGTATTTCCCCACATCACTTTTCCCAGTAACCTCCCTCTGCTAATTTCTCACAGTCTAATTGCTCTCCCCATCATTAGACCCAATTCAGTTAGACTTGAGCTTGTTGCAAAGGAAAGGAGCGAAGGCTTCTCCGCCCCTGTGAATCTGCTGTGCTTTTTCTAGCTATCACTTCTTTGTAATTTTTAGACTGAGGAAGCTGCACTTCTCTTAATGAGACTTACCGTCATCTTCGCTATCGTCCTCTTCCTCCTCATCCTCAGACTCTTGCTTGGCAACTACCGGAGCTACAGGCTTCTTCTGAGGTGCTTGGACTCCACGTTTTTTCACTGGTACAGCAGGTTCCTCCTCAGATTCATCTGCAGCAAGCAGTTTAGTTTAGCTTAGTTCTTAGTCAATCAACACTGAAAAACGTACACTTCATAAATTGATTCCCCTTCTGAAAAAAGATGGAGTGAGAAAAAAATAGGCGATCCCCATTGAGATCAACCATTAAAGTGGGGGAAATCTTTTCCAGAAGATGCAGCTCATAGTTTTGGGCTGCCAAATACAAGGAATACTGATATTATTCCTCTTATTCTGGTGACTGGAGGCTGTGAAGGTCTGGATAGGGAACAACGGGCTTCAGCTGAACCCTGGCAAGACTGAGTGGCTTTGGGCCTACCGATCTCGGACTATGCTGCCTTTGGTGTTGGATGGGGCTGCACTGCCTCAGACAGACCCGGTACGCAATCTGGGGGGCCCGCCTGGACTCACGAACAGCAGATGGCAGTTGTGGCTAGGAGGGCTTTTGCACAGGTTCGTGTTGTGTGCCAGTTGTGCCCATTCATAGATCGGGAGGCTCTGCTCAGAGTCATTCATGCCCTTGTCACCTCCAGGCTGGACTACTGTAATGCACTCTACATGGGGCTGCCCTTGAAGAGCATCCAGAAGCTTCAACTGATGCAGAATGCAGTGGCGAGGGCAGTTACATGTGCTCCCAGAACAGCATGCCACACCTCTGCAAGGTGCACTGGCTGCCAGTTTGCTCCTGGTCGAATTCGAGGTGCTGGATTTAGCCTTTAAAGGGCCAGGTTATTCGAGGAACCGCCTCTCCCAGATTGCATCGGCCCGCCTCATTAGGTCTGTCACAGAAGGCATGCTGTGGGTACCATCTGCCAGGGACTTACATTTGGTGGGTCCCAGGAGGTGGGCCTTCTGTGCCGTGCTGCCTGCCTTAAGGAACATTTCTCCCCTCCAAGTTAGGTTAACCCTATCCCAGTTAATGTTCCAGAAGTCCCTCAAGACCTGGCTTTGTCACCAGGCTTGGGGGTAAGATGGCTCCGCTACCACAGTTGACATATTTACTCTCTCCCTACCTTGTGGTTTGTATGTTTTAATGATATTTGTAACTTTTAATAATGATTGTTCTATATTTTTACAATTATGGTTTTTATAGATTGCTGTTTTATTTGATTGCTATACACCGACCAGAGTCGCTCTTGGTGAGATGAGCGGCCATATAAATTCAATAAATAAATATTATTTAAATTTATTGGCCACCCAACTCAGTGGACTCTGGATATGGCAGAACACCAAAGCATTCACAATAGACTCTACCCCACCCAATTCACCTTCCTCGCTATCATCCTCGTCATCGTCATCATCATCTTCTTCATCGTCCTCTTCCTCCTCACTTTCTTCCTTCTTTGCATTCTTCCCATTTTTTGCTCCTTTGGCAGAGACGGGTGTCTTCTTCAATGGAGTAGCAGCTGCTTTCTTTGCTGGCGTAGCTACTGTCTTCTTTGCAGGAGTTGCTGCCTTTTTGTTGGGAGTAACTATAGCTCCTTTTGCTGGGGTAGCTGCTTTCTTAGGCGCAATCATCTGCAGGGAAAAAATGCAACAGAATAGGCAGTGGTATCTAGCAGCCCCCAACATAGGCAAAACGGATTAAAACTCACTATTGAAATACTTTCAGTAATTATTTTATGTCAAAAAGATGAGTATGACCCAGCAGGGACACTACTGCAGGAAAAAGATACACTGCAGCCATCGTTGCATATGGGAAATGGTTGCTGTCCATATAAATTGAACACTTTCATTGATGTCTTCATCACACTTTACAAGCGTGGTTGAACGTATTCAAGCCACATGGGGTGAGGCACAATGAAGCAGGGACCCTTCTATTCCAATGGCAATTGTGCTGCTAAGGTAACATGAAATGAGCCTCAGGCCAAGCTCGCTTGGAAGCTGAAGGCTGTGTCCAGAGCACTCCCTCTCATTCCTAGTCACAACCACAGCCCACCTTGTTCAGAAGATTGAACTGAGAGACAGCAAGCGGCTCAAAGTCTCCCCATTAACTTCCATGGCTGAGGCTGGACGAGAACCTGGATCTCTCTGCTCCTAGCCCAACACCTTCACCACCACACCACACTGGCTCTCACCTCTTCCTCACTGCTCTCCTCTTCTTCAGATGAATCTTCTTCATCACTGTCATCAATCTCCTTTGGAGGAAGGGTAGTCATTTTCTTCTGTTTAGGCTGATTTTTAACATTCTGTAAAACAAAAACAATGAGGACATTTTCCTCACCATCTAGAATATTTACAGCTAGCCGACTATTACAGGTAGTCCTCACTTACTGGCCACAATCGGGACCAGCAACTTCATCGCTAAGCAATGCGGCCGTTAAGTGAAACATTTCAATAAGCATTCAATAAGAATGCTTATTGAAACAACCACGCTCAGCCATCTTCTTCCCAGACCACACTGCCAAGAGATCGGCATTCAGACATTAGCCACCCCACAATTGCTTCTGTTTGCTCTTGCACATATCTAAAAAATATAATCTGAAGCAAACACTTAATTCTTCTACTAAGATCAACGGAGCTTTCAATTGTTTACAGTTCATTTATATTTAAATAAATCAGCTTCCTTGTCTTTCATTTTGCTATCCAGGCATACTGAAATCTCCAGGGGTCCCACAGACTTGGATGATATTAGAGTGGCGTACAGGGATGCAAATTTTGAAAAGCCCACATACTAATATAAAAGACAACCTTGTTCAAATGAACCGAACTCTGCTAAGGACACACAAGGTAACTTACACTGAGCAAAAGTTGTACTTATGTAATGTGGGGGTCACTAAGGAATAGTCCTGCTGGGGGCAGTCTTTTTCCAACCAACGCCTGGTATGTGGCACAGCACATGCTTTGCACACAGAAAGCCCTGCCCAACCCTCAGAAAAGGTCTTACGGATCAGAGCTATGAAAAAAAAACTTTCCCAGTTCCAGAGCAGGCAGCGATCAGAGAATTCTAGACCGTATCTATTCCCTCTGAATTTACTTAGGGTTAGGGCAACCATATGTGCCCATTGGGCACCCCGTTTTTGACACCCAGTAGGCGGCAGAACTTGGTGCCACGCTCGGCCTGGCGAACCTCCCTCTCTCGGCCTCGTGAGCAGCAGTTCAAGGAAGCACCGCTTCCCGCTTCCACTACTAAAGCAGGAGAGAAGAGGACTGGCCAGTGGCCCCGAAGCCAAGCCAAGCCGGCGCCGCGTTGGCGATCCAAGCCGGGCGAGGTAGCGAGGCCTGGCGCGAGGCACCACGTGGACCCCCGAGAGGAAACGCGGCGCGCGGCTCTCCCTTCCTCCCCGTTCACGTGCTCCCGCCGCACGGTCGGAAGGAGGGGGTGTCACGTGGTGGAGGAGGTGCGCGCGAGCGAAAAACTCGCGCCCAGGACGGGCGCCTTCTGTGCGCGCGCAAACGAGCGACGTAGGGCGCCGCGAGGCAGGCTGGGCGCCTAGAAACTCTCCCCAGCGCGCGTGCGCACGCGCGCTCTCTCACTCCCAACCCGGTGCCGGGAGGGGGTGTCTAGAAACCGCTGAACGTTCCACCGCCGAGCGCGTGTGGGCGCCCAAGAAGCGCTTCAAACCGCGAGGAAAGGAACAGGGGAAGAAGGAGAAGGGGGGAGGCTTAAGCCGCTTTTAATTATCGTCCTCTCTGCTTTCTTCACCGATTACGTGCGGGAGGCCTAGAAACCGCCACGCGCGCAAGGCCTCCGGAGCTGCCCGCCCTCGTCACCCTTCAACAGCCCCGGTTTTTAAACCGCCGCCATCATCCTCCCAGCCTAGGCCGCGAGTCTCACCTTAGCGAGCTTCACCATAATGGCGGCGGAGTTGTCCGGATGTTGAGCTGCTGAGAAGAACCTCCGCACGCTCCTAACGCCTGGCTCGAGACTCCGCCTGAACCGAAAAGAGGGATCGCTTCACTCTTTCCCCCGCCCCACGCGGTTGCTATGGCCAATCGGGGGCCGCGCACTCTTACGCCCCGCCCACTCGCCAGGATGGACGGCCGCTGTTCGAGCTCCCCCGAACAGGACACATCTAACCAATGACCGCCGTCCCCGCCTCATCCTATCAGAAACCGCGCCTCTTTCAGAGGCGGGTGGAGGAGATGTAGCCAATGGAAAGGCTGAGCTGACGAACCTGGGCTCTGTGATAGGTGCGCTCTCCTTGGCGGAAGTGGCGGGGTGAAGGAAGTGCGGCTGCACGTGGCGCTGGGTCCAGTCCTGTTCCATGCGCCGCTCTTCCTCGCTAAAACGTGGTTGGCTGGAGTTGGGGGGGGGGGGGAGTTCGTGAGAACACAGCCGGTGTCCAAAGGCGATCCGGTTCGAGCATTGTCCGATTCTTTGTGTGAAGGAGAAGCTACTGAACGTTTGGCTTCCCGATTGAGGGTCTTTATGTTCTGACCTTAGCAGATGAGACATTTCTCCAGCTGATGTGTCTGGCTTTAGCTTCCCTGCAGAGTGGTCAGATTAGGGCAGAACGGGTAACAGCTGAAGCTTTGTAGTGTTAAATACCATAGGCAAATATCTTTTGCCAGTAGGTTGTCTCCTGGGTGTTGTGGGACGATGTCTTTGCCTTTCTGTGGGGATTTTGGTATTTGGTTGGCTCCTAGGGCAGGAAAAGGAGCATGGACCCATAGGCTGTGTTCACAGCCTGGTTATTGGGGTTACATCTAGACTCCACATAAAACGATATGACCTTGACACTTTTTAACCTTACTGGGAATAAACAGTAACGTGTAAAACAGTGGGAGCAATCAGCTTGCTTAGTTTCTCATCTTTTAGGGGTTCTCGGACTGTGTGTCATAACCCCCAGGGGTCACAAGCAAATTCTTATTCAACATAATAAACCTAAATGATTCACGGTGCTGAAAGATGACAAATCACTAGAAAATATCTACTTGTGGGGTATGTGTGCTCTACTACAGATGGAAACTATACTGAGCAGCTGTTCTCCCCCACCTATTTGGTAAATAGCACCCATAATGCACATCAGCCTGTCCATTGCATGCAGTTTAGGAATCCTGGATGTTACCATGGCGGACGGGTGCTGAATTCCAATATAGTGGAAGCTGCTGGGGGAGAGGGGGAGGTTATTTTAACTTTGCATAGTTTTTATTTTAAAAAGGCATTTAACTTTGCCTCCCAAAGCTTAATTTGAGGTAAAAAAGGCCCACCATTGGTCGTCTTTTTTCTCTGAGCGTGTACCTGCCTGGATTTGATGTGAGGCTGGACGAACTGACTTCATCAGACTTGATTACAGTACTGTGTGATTTTTGTATTCTTTTAATGTGAATGTTTTATTGCATTTCTATTGATATATGTGAACTATTGAGGGTCTTTTTGATTGCCGCAGAGCACAAATCTAATAGGTAAATAAATAAACTAACAGCCTGCTTATCCAGAAGAAGCATGTGTATGAGTTCCCTCCAGTGTAAGCCCCCCTCAAATTTGCTCATGAAGAGTTCAACACACAGCTTGAGAATTATTATTATGGTTGGTCACACAGTCAGCCAGATGTTTAGACTGGATTTGGCATTTTTATCCACCTGTTGAGTCCTTCCCAAGGACCTGGAATAGGCAAATGTTGTTTGATGGTGTTAAAGGTATCATCGCAGGATATAAGCTGTTCTAAGTAAAGCTGCCTTTTGTAGTTGACATCATCATCATCATTTAAATGCTGTTTGACTCCCAATGAATCTGGGTGGTTACAGATAAAAACATTAAAACAAGAATAAAATGTTATAGACAAAAATGAAGAGTAAAGATGGCAAGAATGACAAGAAGTGGACAGGAACAGAAGGAAATGAACCCACATGATCCAAAGGGGGCTTCGCTTGCCATCAACCTGGGGGAAGAGCCGGGTCTTCAAAGTCCTTTGAAACACCAGCAAGGTGGAGGCTGTTCAGATACCAGGGGGAACTTCATTAAACCAGAACATAACCAAGCAGTCTGGGGTTGTGCAGAATGGTATTTCCCCCCACACCCAAAAAACCCACAACTAAGCAAGCTGTGTTCAGGGTTGGGTCACTTCTTAAGTGTGTTGTGTGGAGCCAGAGTATAGCGAGCAAATATTTTCAGTGTCGGTCCCCTTTATCTCCCGGTATAATTGAGAGAAACTCCATCTTCTCTGAAGATCTTCAGATTTTGTTAGTCAGTGCAACCTTGAGTAAGGTAAACCAGCTATTAGACCTGGTATAGAACAGCACTTCTGCCTTCCTTCACAGTCCTGGGAAAGGTGATATATTTAAGAGAACCTCTGAAGTACTGCTGAGCGGATCATTCTGTAGGATCAAGGCTAAAGCGAAATGGAGGTGGATTGATAAAGCCGGAGATGCTCTCTCTTTGTTTCAGCCAGTTCCTGCTTGGTCCCTGTGGCATCTCTGGACCTTTGGATATGAACTGAGATAGGCCAGGGAGCACGTTGCAAATGCCCAGCAGAAAGTGAGCGTATTTGCTGTTGCTTCATCAATGCCGGATAGGAAACAAGCAGAAATCCCCAAGTGAGCAATTGTAAAGCTACTGCCACCCTTTTCAGACAAACTAGAGGTTTTTCCCCACCCCCATGTTTCACAGAGGGAAGTTAGTGTGCAGATTTTTTTTAAAACAATTTCAGTTTGAGGTTGTTAATATTTATTATGGTCTTCGTGCACGCTAATGTCCTGGAAAAGAAAACCAGGAGGAGTCTGGTAGCACCTTTCTGACTCACAAATTTTTATTCAAAGGCGGAAGGTTTCTACCAGGAGTTATATGACTGAGGAAATTGCAGTCCCTCTTTGTGACGGTTCCAGGAAACTCATGAGAACGGAGTGTCTGCCAGCTGCTCAGTTAGTCCCCTGGATAGATATGTATGGTAAGAGCAGCCTCCCCAACCCGGTGGTCTCCAGATGTGTTGGGCTAGAGCTCACATAACAAGACTGGCACTGGCAGTGATGAGCATGCCTCGGAATGCCCATGTAACACCACTGCTTTGCGAGCTGCACAGGTTGCCAGTTTGCTTCCAGGTACAATTCAAGGTGCTGGTTGCTATCTAGAAAGCCCTATGTGGCATAGGGCCTGGTTACTTGAGAGACTGCCTGTCTCCTATAGTATCTGCCAGGCCGATTTGGTCCTGCAGGGTTGGCATGCTCTGGGTTCCATCACTTAAACCAGTGTTGTCCAAACTTGGCCACTTTAAGATGAGTGGACTTCAACTCCCAGAATTCCCCAGCCAGCAATGAGTTGAAGTCCACTCAT